TAATATATGCTCCGGAATCTTATTGTAAAAACGTATACAGTTCCCCATAAAAGAGTCGTTTACCTTGGTTAAACGAAATCGTGGTACCATGAGTTTGGACTTAGCTCTAAGGTTAATATTATGGATATCTTCTTTCTTATTGAAATTATGTATATTTTTACGGGCATATAAAATATTTGAGCAAATGTACTGTGATGCCACAGTCATGATACCAGTCTCCTTAAACTTTTCTCTGAGAGAAACCCGAGAGCCTAGACGGTACACAGAACGAATCGCTCGTTTTTGCAATACAAATTTACCCCACATGAGAATCCCGTAGGACATTATACTATGGAAGTAACTAAAGTAAACTAGTCTAGCAGCACTAACATCGGTAAGCTCACGTAATCTTCGGACTGCGTACGCAGCGGAGCTTAATCTGCTGGCCAGGGAAGATATATGTGGAAACTATTGAAGTTTACTATCTATGGTCACTCCCAAGAAGACTGCTTTATTGACAAGGTCTAACTTTTCTCCGTTTATTTCTATGCTTGGACTAGTCGATTTTACGTTAGGTAATTAAAATTGAACACATTTTGTCTTCTTGGCATTAAGCAATAAATTGTTAGCATTAAACCAATAAACTACCTTAGAGAAGGTATCATTAATATGGTCATAGTTCATGTCATGTCTCTCTGTTTTAAAAATCAAGGATGTGTCATCAGCAAACAATACTATTTCGCAATGGTCCTTAGCAAAGAATGGCAGATCATTAATATAAATCAGAAATAAGAAAGGTCCAAGTATTGAGCCCTGCGGAACACCCATTTTTACCGGAGAACCCAAAGAAGTCACTCCATTTATGTCTACTTTCTGAATTCTACCGTTGAGATATGACGAGACAAGTTCCGACGCCTTGCCATTTACATCGTAATGTTCCAGCTTCCTAATAAGAGTATTACTCTTATTAGCATATGGTATATGCTAAACGATAGCTTTAAAAACAAAATTTCTCCTTTATTGATCTAAAAATAACATGGGCAAGATTTCTAAGTATAGGGAAACTGTCAAAATTCTGCATTTTTCAATATTGAAATGTGACGATTGGTTGACTATAGTTAAATTTATTTGAATTTACATACAGTCATCGTTGGCGTCTATACAGTATTGTTAGTAACCATGACACGAGGCTTATAAGTAACACATTATGGACGTTGGCGGTACTCCAATTTTATTTAAACTCGACTGGGTTGACCGTTTATGAATACAAAATTATTTCAAGTGGGAGGTAAATTCACACTTAATTTCCTTTACGAAGGGTCCAATGAACGCTGCTAGGCCAGCAGATGCATAGCATACGGCGTCAACTATAATGTTACTTGGAACAAAATAATGGCACTTAATGGTAAGCCTGTAATCTATATTTGGAAAATAACCTGATTTTTCAGCTTTGGTTATTCTACACGAAGGATAGTAAATTATCTCGATCCGAGATTTGGGCCGATAAGCCTTCACCGCCTCTCTAGCAACGCGATCCACCTCGTAGGTATCAACGTCTCCGCATGTGTATTCGTCAGCCATCTGAAATATCATAAAACGTTTGAAACTTTTTACTTATCTGATGAATAGGCCTAATATGAATAAGAAAAAAACCCTCCCCACGTAAGTTTTAAAAAAGTGACATCCGATCAAAATTACGGTTATGTGTTATATTGAGGCAAAGGCTTTGGAAAATGTTATAGAGATTAGACTTGAGTTACAATTTTGAATTGGTGAATTCTATTTTTATGTTTCGTTCTACACAATTTTGTGCTTATTGTTACAGCTCGCTGTGAGTCTGATACAAGAAGGAGCCTTTCTTAAAGAATCTCGAACTTAGACGCGCAATCCAAAACAACACGACTCCACGACTTCACGACTGCTATTTCAATTGAATAAAAATTAAATTTTTGGTTGGTACCAAACAAAAACCATATTATGTTGTTACAGAGAAGGCAAGGAATTAGAAATAATAATCCTCATTTCCGGAGAAACCACCTTAGTGAAGAATTAAAAAATATCAAATTAAGAGCCACATTCGATTTCCTAAACGAGACAAAAACAGCTGAAAGTTATGTGCTATTTATTCAGCTAAGTATAAAAATTTACTTTAATTTTAATTACCACAAAAGAAATACTAAAGTTACCAAACGTTACGTTAAAGGTTAATTTGTTATTAATTCCTTTACATATAATGTACAAATCTTTAAATTAACTTTGATTTTCTCAAAAAAAATAGAAAAAGGATGAGTTCCTCTTAGGATCAAAATGAACATCGAATAAATCAAATGTTGCAATATCCTACATTCAATTTTCGATTTAGTCGTATTTACCGAAAAATAACCAAACATAGTTACTAATTTAATAATTACTAATTAAATTTTCGATATCTAAAAAAGGTCCTCTGTACTATGCTACGGGAATGTAAAAAATGAAAAAAAAAACGATCGATACTCATCCAGTATCGATAGATCCTATTACTAATTTATTTAAAAATCAATCCTGTTGCTATTACGATATTTGATCAATAATCAAAGAATATAACTAGTACATTAGTAACTATTTCGATTCACAATCGATATTTGATCAACAATCAACAGTGAAGTGTAGTAACCAATTAGTAACTAATCGATATAAAAAATGGAATTATTTCGATTATCGCCCATCGCTATTCAGTTGTCGAAAATATTCGTAAACAGAAACTGAAATTAAGTACATTTACAGTGTTCTAATAAGTAGTACGTATGAGTACAGCAGGAAGCAAGTGTACAAATGTTTCCCAGGACAACTTATCAATGAAAAGTAAAAAATGTCAGCGAAAATAAGTGGTTCATAAAGAAGCTCACTCAATCTCTAAAGTGTTACAGGTATACAAAAGTAAATGCATTTTTCTTACACAAGCGGCTATGGTGAACCCAAGAAGTAATATTAACTGGACACAAAGAGTAGCTTGCACCATGATTGCTTTCAGGATAAGTGTGTAATATATTTAACATCCTTTTATATTCTCGCAGTTGTAACTGTGGTCAATTGATACTCTATGCTGGACAATTAAGCAAGCGAAACAAATAGCATAAATTACAGTGCATTAAGGTGATTAACTTAATTTCGTATTTATACTAGCTTTTGCATGTGATTGCGTTCGCTTAAAATTAACTTAAAGACAAAAAAAATATTTGCTTGTGGAGAAAAATTGACCAGTAAATAAGTGAATGGAAGGACTGTACAATACCAACACTCGAATTTAGGAGAGAGGAGGTGGGGGCACGGGGATCCCTTATCCCCCTGTGAGAGGGGAGTTACGGAACCTCCTGTTCCTGAGATACACGAGAAAGTAAATTTTATATACAAACTTAGCAAAAACGCAAAATCTAAAAAAAATTCGCATCTGGAACTCGCTGACCGCTGCTGCGACGCGCTCGCTTCCCTCGCTCGGCTCGTGCTGAATTTTCATATCTATTGAATGGGGGGCGCAAGCTAGATTTAATCTATGTGAAATACATTTGTTTTTTTTAGACCACCAAGAAATCCAATATGTAACAATAATAATTTTGTCAATACTATTTTAATGTTTCGTTTTTTTTTGCAACAAAAATCGGTCGATAATAAGAGCGTATACATTAAATATCATAAATGTTTTAAATGACATATGTACAATTATTCATTGATTTATGCTTTTTGATTTAATATTACGATAAATTTTAAAAAATAATGCTAATAAACATTTTGGTGAAAAAATATTGAGGCCCGAAGCACCGTGCGGTGTTTTGTTACTCCGTATTTTTTTATTTATTTATCGCAATATTTAATTAGAAACAAATTAGGAAGCTTAGATTAATGAATATTTTTATTGTACATTTGCCGTGTCAACCAAACACCTTCAATGCGTTCCTAACCTACAAAACCTGTTTCCAATCATTTATTTTTGAATATTTCAATAATTGTCAAAACTTCGAGTTTCCTTAATTCAATATTTTAGGATTAGACTCAACGATATCTATTACTAGTGTATAGATACGGCGTTTCATACACACGCTGTGTTTCACGGATGTGCGGTGAAGACGCTGCACATCATTTAGACTTGATTCATATCGCGTAGACGCTACGCGACGCGGCGCGGGCTGTATTCAAGCGAGCAATGCAACATAAACTTTATCCTCAACAAAATAAGGCAACATTTCATTAAACAAACACATGAAAACGAAGCTCCTTCAAGGGGCGGCGAGCTGCAGAGAGGTGCGGCAGGTGCACTTTATAAAATGCAATATACTATAGAACAATATTCTTTATTTAATAAAGTATACATTTCTTCAAACAACAAAAAACAAAAGAGTAAAGCCGCGTGACGCGTCGTGTTTCACGACTCCGCCCACTTCTCGCCTCTGACAATACAAAGTGTGACTTAGCTTCTCAACAATAAGGTATATTTCTTTGAAAGGCACATTGCGTAGTAGACGCTATGTAGTATATAAAATTATATATAATGTTATTTTTTTATTGTGAGTACTGAATCGATAAAATACCGCACTAGCGCCATTCGTTATTTCGTTTATTTGATAATGAACGCTTTTTATACATTATGAAGAACAAGGATAGTGATATATAATTACGTGTATAGCTTATCTTTATCATTTAATCATCGCCGGGAAAATTGTAATCCTTTTAATTGCATCGTTGTGAAACGACGAAACGAAAAATCTTTCATTATCAAATAAACAAAAAATTAAATTTTAATAAAGGCAACATAGCTTTATGGAGTGTATATCACGGGGATGTTTATCACATATTGCATGCGATATGCTGTCGTACTACGCATGCTGTTTCTTTTTATTGTTTCTGTTTATTTCGTTGTAGCCACTGACTTACAAATAAATGGGCGACGTGTCTAATACAAATACCACGAAAAAAATGTCCCAAGTCAACCTATTTAAACGTAGTGACATGTAAAGGAATATGAAAAAGCTAAAACGTTGAATTTAAATTGTAATGTCATCGCAGTACTGTCTAATTTTGCTTGCTTCGCTGTCAGTCGAACAAACGAAGACTAAAGCGTGAATGACGCTCTGTATACGATTTTAACGCCCTATAAGTTCGGACACTTTTTAGCGCGGATCCGACGTCCATTTATTTGTAAGTCAATGGTTGTAGCGCTCAATTTTTACGCTAATAAAATTACCGCGCAGTACTGATTTTGTCAGATTTTTGTCAAAAATATCGAAATAGACTAGGCTGAACGATATCTGTGTACTTGACTAGGCTGTATGGTCTAAAGATTCCTTTCCGCCAGGAAAAGTAGGTACAGTCAAGAGCGCGTCAAACTTGACACTTTGTACTTTGGGCCTTTCTTATCGTAAGCGGCATAGAGTTGGATTTAAATCTTAAGTGTCAAGCGTGACGTGTACCTACATAAATTGACATCAAAAATGTCAACAACTCGTCTGTACTTCTCTTTTTTTCCTTAATTAGTTTTTCTTTTTTGTAACAATAATTATAAATAGTAAACGGAAGGACCCTGGCTCAAAGCAAACTGAAATATAATGTGGAACTAATAACGACTTTGCTAGCTACGTTAATTCCCCAGCCATGGATAAATATCATTGGTAAACACTCAATATTATATTATCTGCCTGCCTAGATCATTCCCAATAGGTATAGACTGTCACGTCTGTCCACGATACTAGGACATGAATAAAAAAAGGAACAGAGACAAAGCTCCTAAACAGCGTGCAAAATGTATACCTATTTTGGTAGTGTTAGCACAGGAGGATAAAGTTAAATAAACAAAACTTTATAATGTCAGCATATTTTTTTTATTATACATGACTTATTCTAAATTTGACCCCGTTTATCATCAACAAGCCTTGTTGTCTTGTCAAAGGCAGATTCTTCTGGGCCCACTACTTTTAATCACTCCTGTCGTTTGAAATAAATAATCTCAGTACAGAGTACTAGAAAAACCGACCTCAAAAGTACGTGGAATTACATATAATTACCAAGTTTTATTGAAATCGGTTATCGGAAAGTGCGCAAATCCGGATTCATCCCCTAGTTCGCCACCATGCGGAACTTGACACAGGAGATAATAAAAATCGGTTCTCACTACTCAAAGTATATTGAGAAAAACGCCTTGAATTGGAGAATAGCGAAGTTAACCATTAAAATAATTGCTCCTTATCCGCTCACGCGATGCGCTCCTTCTACCGCAAAATGGCGGCTATTTGGTTTCGCAAATTAGAAAAGGATTCAGTTTAAATACAAGTTTTTATAAATAAAAATTATTATTCTGCATTGCTAAATAAATACTCTCCGTACTACCAACAAAAACATCTCAAATAAAATGCAGTAATACACCGCAAATCCTGCACTAATATATATACAGGGTAAACTTAAAAAACGCTACTTACGGTATGTTTTCAACAAATAAACACCGAAATCACCAGCCCAAACAATAACACACACGATTATCGTGACGTATTTTTGAAGTTGTTTATTTTTTTTAAATGACAGACCCAGGCATTAAAAACTTTATGGTTTGCTAGAGTAGTTACCGAAATAGCAATTAATATTAGTTCTTTTACCTGTTATAACTTCGATATCCGATTAATCGGTATAAAATTATCACCAGCACCTCTAGGTGTTGTATGCGTCTACGGCTGCATGTATCGCGTGAGCGGTTATAATAAAATTTGAATTATAAACATTGCATTATATACGTAATAATATACTTGAATCTACGTATTAGTGATTTTAATAATTATGTTTATCGATTCAAACACGAAAGTTCTGGTTTTTCATTTCAGACTGTAGAAAGTCAAGCAACACATTGACAGATTTTATTCCGTTGCTCTGGAGGCGATATTCGAACAAAAGTTTAAAGCGTAACGTGCGGTTGACTGTACCTATGTGTTCCAA